ATATTAAAAACGTTGTCAATATTATGGCAAATATGTAGGAAACACGTTATAGCAGATTTTATAGTCAATATAACCTATAGTAGTAATGGTCTGAAACTGAAAATGTGATACATAATGCACCAAAAAGAAATTGGAAATTAAAATAATATATCAATTAATTGAACATTAAATTGGAGGATAGTGGGCATAAATTTCTATAAGTAGGTTTTATTTATTTTATTGATGAAAAGCCATTTTCAGTTGCATCTGGAAATAAAAGTTCGGGTCGTTTTCCGTATTAAGTATGTATATTGATGACTTTGCTTTTGACCCGGGCGAGGAGGCATTGGGGATGGGATTAATTAATATTTTATTTTCCTTTGAGAGTTTAAATTAAGGGAAGGCTTGTTTTTATTTGAAATATTTTATTTTTTTTTAAATTTATATCTATATTAGTACAATGTCCATGTACTACATGGGTACTTGTTAAGAAAATTATATTTTAAATTAAATAATAATGAAAAAAATTGTTTTAGTTTCTAAATACTATTTTGAAGGATATATATTATCTATATTTAAATTGACACCGTCACTTACACGACTTACCATCTTATATTATATATTTTTATAATTTATATCAGATAATAATTTGTAGTTAAGTTAATTTAAATATTAGATTTTTTCAAATTAATAATAATAGATAATTTAATTTTAATTATAAATATAAATAAAATTATTTAATTTTTTTATATTTATAATATAGATGAAAAATACACAAGTGAATGTTTTCACTTGTGTTGTCAACCTAGCTGTACATTAAGTTAGCAATGTAGCATTTCTCAATAAATTAAAAGTCATATTAGTCAAAATATTTTAAAATTACCCAAGTTAGCTTTCCAATATTTATGGAATGTACGAACCTAAAAGTATTGATATAGAATAACATTATTTTTTATCCAAACTAAATTACGAAGCATAGATTTCGTTATGTAGGACTCCGAAGAGCGCGAGCCTGCTACTTAGGCTCAGCGCATTTTGAAATTATATATAGGGGGGATATGTATAATTGCTAGCTAAACATTAAATAAAACCCATTTAATTATATATACATACGTGGCAGATTCCCGCCTAAAACCGTTACTGACCACCATTGATCATTTTTTACACTAGTCATTTTTTTTAAACTGTTGCTGGCCATCATTAATCATTCCCCCCTAAAATCATTAATTTTTTTTCAAGTTATTTATTCTAAAATCAATATTATAATTTTTTTAATCCAATTAACCAATTACTTTTTAAATAAATTAATTTATTTTAATGTCATAGTAAAATACTTTAAAATCACGTAAGCAATTGTTATAACAAATTTAATATTTTTTAGTTAATTAATTGATCATGACATCTCAAATTACAAAAATTACATTATATGCAATAAATATAGTGTCATATGCAATCAAATCATTATGTACTATTTATTTTAACCAATGATCAACTTTTATAATATAATCCCATTATCTATCTTATAATTAAAATATTATATGCATAAATATAACTTATAATATTTTACGTTTAAGATATAATATCATTATCTAACTCATAATTTTAATATTATATGCGTACAAATAACTTATAATACTTTATTTACATCTGTACAAGTCTATGTTTCCTAAAAATTAAATTTATTTATTTTACTATTCATAAGCAAAACTCCACAAATTCAATTATTATTTTAATATTTTTATTTTCTATTTGATAAAAAATCACCATTCTTCTCTTAAAACAATTTTTCGTCACTATTGTGTATTGGTAAGAATATTCAAATAAAAATATTTTATTAAAAAATTAGCTGACGTTTACTTAAAAAAATAAAAGAGAAGAAGAATCATCAGTTTTGAAGTTGACTGGTTTTCCTAACAGTTAGTGGCAGTCATAAATGCTGTCTTTAATCTATGCACTGTTTTTAACTTTTTATCTCAAGCGAAGAGAATTTGATATCCATGACGTACCATATGAATTTGTAAGTCCAATTCTTCCAAGTATCTAATTCACTTACGATAAACAATTGCTCTAATTTTCAGTATAATCAGCTCCATGATTGTTCTAATTTTCAAATATAATTTTGAATGGTGGGTGTAAGTCAAAGTTCATTGATATTTTTAGGTAGACATTATAATTTACTCATTTTTATTTTTAGATACACAAAACTAATAAATCTATTCGTATAGTTGATCTATATAGCATTAGTTAAGCACGCGATACATCCATAGTTTTGAAAACCGATCCAACCGATTGCTCGTACCAAAAATCGACCACAAAATTCGTTTTGTTGAAAATAAATTGATTGCCAATAAATTCACGACCGATTTAACTTGTCAGAATAAGCTGGTCAAATCGCTCATTTTTTTCTTCTAAAAAGTTAGTTTTAAAAAATTTAAATATATAAACAAAAAAGGTTAATTGCAAATAAAATCTTAACATTTTGTCTAATTGCAAATAAAACTCAACTTTTTCAATTTGACAAAAATATACCAAACCTTTAATAAGTGTTGCAATTGTGTCTCAAATTTTGTCTAATTGCAAATAAAACTCAACTTTTTCAATTTGACAAAAATATACCAAACCTTTAATAAGTATTGCAATTGTGTCTCAATCACCTTCCGCCGCTGCCAACCGCCACCCGCCGCCGACCAACTTTGCCGAATATTGAAAATTTTTACATGACCTTGTAGCTCTCCTTCGTGCCGACAACATATCTGAGTTTCACGAAAAAATTCCGACAATAAGGCTTCCAATTTTTCGGTCAAAGCTCGTAGATCTACAAATTTTTTTCGGCATTCTTTCGCAAATTCCCGGTGACTCACTTTGACCCACGTGAATCCGAAGGTACCGTTGAACTCCTCTTGCAAAGCCGCATCTAGTGAAGTCCACCTTCGCCAGAATCGGTGACTTTTTTCGGTGACGACTTTTCCGGTCATCTTCTTATCGTCGGATTTTTTTCGTGAAACTCGGATATGTTGTCGGCACGGAGGAGAGCTACAAGATCATGTAGAAATTTTCAACATTCGGCGAAGTTGGCCGGTGGCGGGTGGCGGTTGCGGCGGCGGCGGAAGGTGATTGAGACACAGTTGCAACACTTATTAAATGATTGATATTTTTTTGCCAAATTGAAAAAATTGAGTTTTATTTACAATTATATTTAATTACATTTAATTCAACCACCAATCTGTCCAGTAAACTTTTAACAAGTAGTTCGACCGGTTCAATGAGCTCGATTTTGAGAACCTCAAACACACCTAATCTAAGGTTGTATTATGATTAGTGGTACCCTAGCTAGCGTGGCTTTAAAAAGTTGTACCAACAACCAATATGACGTGTCTTGGCCATCTAAGCCAACGTACAATACAAAGTTCTTCTCATGGTAACCTTTTGCCTAATTTCATTTTTCCCTTTTTAAAGTTTTTATTTAAATAAAATTTCAGCAACGCATAACATTATTTTAATTATAATTCAGACTGTAAAGTTTATTTTCCATGGTAATACATCCAAGCACATTTTGGCTAGTCTAGTTGTATCTTGTATTTTATTCTATATTGGGATCCAAAAGTTGTACCAACAGCAAATTTGGTTTGGGTTCTCCACTATGTGGGCCAATGGACCAGTCTTTTTCCTAGAGCCGTTGTCCAATTATCCTCCTTCTTTTATAAATGATAAAATTAAGAATTCAATAAGATTCAATATATGATTTTCAAACAATGGTTCATGCAATGTAACGAAATGTGGGTCGTTAGTCATTAGTTACCGTTAAACATTGTATCGCATTAAAAAAAGTGGGCCTTATGGATGGTTCGTTTTGTATAATTACACATAGGAATAATTCGTGCATAATTCAAATATAAAATCATCATTCTTAATTGTCCAAAGTGTTCAACCAACTCACACATCCTAACTATGGGCACTGCTCATGAAATTTTACGCTTGGAATCACCTAGAGAAATGTGATGGCTTAACCATTATGAACCTAAAAAACAAAATAGAGCACCTTAAAATATATTAAAGATCAATATTCTTTCATCATTTGGGAATTCCATGATAAATTCTAATTAGCTATTTCAGTGAATATTTTGAAATTTAATTTGTTTATTAATCATAGGGGACTGGCACGCGAGTCGATGTGGAGTCGGGACCGGTTTGGATGGGTCTTGTGGATCGTATAACATAGGACCCGATCAACACCCACTCGAACCAAATTGACATAGCCAGGTCAATCCAATTATGTTTAAGAAAAAAAAATTATGTGTTAAATATATATAACGAGATACGATATCATATTAGTAAGATTTTGGTGTATAAAATTTATATATATATATATGAGAAAAAGTATTATGTATATAATTTTTAAATTATTAAATTTAGTTATTAGGTTATGCAATTGACCTGGAGGTTGGGGTGTAAACAAACCGAGTCGAGCTGATCAAGCTCGAACTTATAATCTAGCTCGAGTTTGACCCGTTTATCAGTATTAACGAGACGAGATGCAACTTTAACGAGTCGAAATTGAGTTTTAACGAGTCGAACTGTAGAAACCTATATTGAAAAATATCTATTCGAGTCTTAACAAGTTCGTTAACTAGACGAGCTTAAAATGAGCTCGATAAACGAGTCGAGCCGAGTAGAGCTCACGAGCAACTCGTTTCATTTAACAACTTTATTTGAAGGCCAGCCTCGAGACCCTGTATGAAAACATTGTTTAATCAAATAAAAAATGTTATTTTTTCTAGTTAGGTAAATATTTAAATAATTCAGCTAATTAAATGTTAGATACAATTTCACAAGAAAATTTTTTGTAATAATACAATGGAAAATTATATATTGAAACTCAATTCACAAACGAACAGAGGAAAAGGAATCCGAGAAAAAAGAATGGTGGCGATATCACTGTACAAAGGGAACTTCCACAAAGCGTCCGATGTACCCCGCCGATGGCCGCCACCGACCCCAAAGCTTTCGCTCAAAGACTTCAAGATCCTCCTTCACCGTCGCGACATGGCGCTCGCCCGCCTCCGCTCCTCCTCCGCCGAGGCCGATATCAATGTCGCGACGACTTCAGGCCCTAGCACCGGCCGTAGCCCTAGCCCCGAGCCCAATCGTGCTAATACCGATTCCATTCATGTGGATATCGCCGTGAATAAAATAGATGGCGAAAATCATGCGGGCAATAACTGTTCTGAACCTGAATTGCTGCCAAAAGTGAATTTAAAGGAGGAGGTTATGATAGATGAGACAGAAGATTCATTGAAGAAATTGATGGAGGAAAGTGATGCTATGGTTGAGGAGCAGAAGAATGAAGAGAATGTCAAGGATGATGGCAAATCGGAGGCTATTGTGAAACCGGAGGGCGAGGTATTTTGCTGATCAAGATACTATTTTGACCTGTGTTATCATGTTCTTTGTTGATTTTTTTTTCTTCTTTGGGTTTGGTGATTATACTCTTGGAATATGTTTTTTCTGATTTGATGATTAAGATTGTTCTGTATTAAGTTGCCATCTTTGGGGATTATTGCTCTGAGTGTTTCCTGGATGGTATGTGAAGGTGGGTTCTTATGTGAACTAGGTTCCATGTGTTAAATTCATCACTTTTTTCATGCTTGCAGTTACAACATGTTGTGCTGCAATTGAATACCAAGAATGTTACATTCAATGGAGTTTAATCAACCTGTCTAACATGAAGCATTAAGTGGCTAACATACATCTTGTAATGAAACGATTTGGAAACAACATAAATGAAACTGAGATGCCGTTGTGGTGGCTACTTTTCTTCATATCTTATAGCACCATTGAAGGCCGCCGCTAGCGGGAAGCATAAATGCAATCATTTTGTCGACTTTGACATATTTTCTATTCCTTCTCCTGCTCCATATTTTTATGCATGTCTTACTTTGTATTGGTAGAAAAGCAATTCGGAAAATGGTATAAGTGATGCAGAGAAAAGAACCAAGGAGGTCAAAGAGAAGTTGGAAATTTTGAATGAGAAAAAACATAGCTTGGTAAAAGTGCTGAAACAGGTAAATATATAAATTCTATATTTTGATAAAAAATGAAATGACCGATGCTGCTTTGACATGTGTTCCAAAAATGATAACCTTGATCATTGCTTATAGTCATATGAATGTGGTATACTTCTGTTTGCAGATTTTGAATGCAGAAGAGCAGTTAAAGCGACAAAATTGCACTCAAGGAATTTCTGGTCTTCCACCATCGCAGGTAGACACTACTAGCACCGATTCTGGGTCAATGATTAAGGTCAACACCCCTAAAATTGGCCCGGATGGAATTCCTTGTGGTAATGTGGAGGGTGGAGAACCTGATGATGTTTCGAACCATAATGCGACTTCTCGCCACTTACCTCGCACGAGCAGTACTTCTCCATCTTCTGGTTCTCAACAGCGGAAGCCAAACTCTACCATGGTAAAAAGAAATATATTCAGTTCTCAAGATTCTTTATTTTGTTGTTGCTAAAGATAAATGAACAGAGTACTTTTATAGTCATGGTTTCGCAGTTACCGATTATATGGAGCTCATTGTTGAAACTATGGTCCGTAAATTTCTTTTAGGCCTTGGTAGGCAATCAGAGGTTAGCTGTTAGCGTATTATGTCAACTGTTTTGACCAACAGATTGTATTGGTTGTTTTGACCGGCGGATTATGTTAGCGGATTGTGCTAAAGCGTTTGGTAAAATTAGCCGATTAATGGTAATAAGTTGAATAAAATAACTAATGTGAATAAATATATAATTACTCAAATAAAAATATTTATAAATTTTAATATTTTTATTATAATTATTTAAAAATTATAATTCACATTTTTTGTAATTTTGAGAAAATTTAATAACATAACACAAATTTTATTCCTTATGCTCGAAATTTTTTGATTGGTAACCAAAGTTTTAATAAAACAAAAGGTAAATAATTATCTTGTAGAACAATAAATTATTTTTATCTTCTTTAATTTTTTAATACTAAAGTAAGTACTTCTAGACCGGTTTTGAAAAAATATTAAGCTTTGGTGGTTAAAAGAATAAACATATATCATGTACACTACTAAGACACATGTTACTACATGTTACTTGACCTTTTAAAAGACTATTAAGTAACGATAAAATTAACCATTAATCCTAAGCATATCCGCCAACCAAAAACGCTCCACTATGCAGCGTCTTCATTTTCAGCATTTTGGCCCAATCCGCTGATATAAATAGCTGCTCAACCAAACACATTTTTTTGGCGTTTTGATTTAGTTAAAATCACTATTATAGCGTTTTGATCAAAACGCTGGAAACCAAACGCCCCCTTAAGTTTTTAGGAAAGTATATTGGATCGCGATTTAATGATAATCGCCTTGTGTTAAAACGTTGAGTTGACTTTTTCACATCTTTGTTCAAAGCTGTTTTGGGGTTTTTTTAGTTTCTAGATTTTTGTTGTAGGAAAGTTAAGACTATGCCTTCTTTGAGAGTTGAGTCCTACATTTTGCGTGTTAAAAAGTGGATCACTAGTAAATGGTAACTTAGTGGGGGTTATTGATTTTCCATAATTCAAATTACTCTCCCCATTTCGCATGTGTATTGTCAATTGGAAACCCGAAACATTTTGATGGTTCACTACTATATTGCTGAACCGCTATGCGCCCTCTTGACACACGTATGTAAGGGCTAGTGCTTGCCCTGAAAGACTTGGGTCTTCTAATCGTCATTGTATAAAATTCTTCTTAATACAATCAGTGTTGTTGAAATATCAATAGATATAGATATATTGTAGACTGTATTTACACTTATTGTTTCCACCTGACCATTCATTAACAGATATATTTGCCATCTGACTATGAAGATAGAAATAAAGTACCATCTATAGAATATGCCTCATCTGCTTCCGGTTCTCCTCCTTGAAGTTTAAATTTCAAAATTTACTCATTTTCTCAGATAATTTGATTTATATTTTATCAATAAAAAGGATATTGTCAACTCCCCCTGCCTCAATCGTTACATACTCTTGACCCAAGTGTATGAGATGGAGTGAGAACGATAAAAGTTACCGGTGATTGAGAAAAAATTCCGATTACGTGGTCTGGTCCTAATGTTTCAATGCCTACAAGTCAATCCATGAATCCCAGGACAAATTAGAACTTATGTTAATTGGCAATTTAGGCTGGACACATTCTGAGTCTAATAACTATTTAAGTTATGAAGGTCATATTTCGAAACTTTTGTGGTGGCTTACCTGAGGACAACATACGATATTTTGATCTGAATGTTTGAATTTTGCTTTAATTGTTTGACTCAATACATGACGTGCATCTATTTGATTTCAGGCACCTCTTTCTTACCGAGCCACTACGGGCGTTGCCAGTAGCCCTTCACGATTCGCACCCACAGGTCAAGGTCAAGGTCAAGGTCAAAGTCAAAGTCAAGGTCAAGGTCAAGGTCAAGTACAATCCGCTCTTTCTGTCTCGGCCACGAGTTATGTGGTGTCATCTCCTTCTCCAGCTGCATCAGGTGGTACCTCTATCTTTAGAGATGCCAGGCTCCCGAGCCCATGGAATTAGAAAAACATCAAACTACCTGCATTTTTTTTTAAGTATTCGAACAACACGTAATATGCCAGTCGAAAGTTTGCGTGCAATCAATTTTATGGAAATATTATATTTTCGTCATTCGACCGGTCATCTCCATGTTAATGTATCAAACTAGGTTGATGCTATTGTACACGACGAGCAACCTCTTTGTGATTTGATAGATGTGAAATATGAATAATCTGCGTTTAACTGTTAAAATTATATTAGGATTGGCTAATGTTTTATTTCCTTATTCTAGTTTATTACGGTGCTTGTGGTGGTTGAGGCCTTTAATAGTCTAATTAACCAAATAGAGATGGATCTAAAATGGACCAGACATCCCATGTTCTGAGCCAATGGGAGGTGACTGAGAGACATTTTTATTACAATTATTATATTTTATTTTGTTCATTCTGGACAAAATAGTTTGATTTCCAATACTCCTTTGGAATTTTAGTCCTTTATTTATATATTGTGTAGGGTCCAATGCACATTAACTTTTTGCAAAAACAATACCATCCAACACTTGTTTGGATTGTTGATAAGTAATTTTCAATTGCCTCTTTTAACTTCCTTTTGTATACCTATGTTTCAATATAATAAAGGCATTGCTTGTTTAGTGTTCGTTTGTGTTATTAGTTTTTTCATTTTATTTACAATTTTATAGAATATTCATAGCTTGATTTTATATAACAATGTTTATTTAAGAATCTCCACGAAAAGGCATATGAGTAGAGTGCTGAATAGGAACACATTTTAATGTACATTCAATATAATGCATGGAAATTAATTTTCACGGGGTTTGAAATATAATTTGCTATAAATGTTACCATCTACACGGCTTTTTACGTCCAGAAATTCATGTGGCAAAAATTTCCAAATAGAATTGTGCTGTCAAATCATTTAATTTTAGGATATGGGGTCACATACACAAAAATATGGAAATAGGACAACAGAATTGTCAAATCAATTTAGTTCTCACGACATCTACACTTACGAATTTCTGATGCCAGATTTTTAGAGCCGAATAATAATGGTGACAACAGGATATTCATTCATTCTTCGTAAGTTATTTACTGTTCTATTATAGTAAAATCTTTTTGAGAAAATTTATAAAATTGCAGTAAATTTTGAATGAAAATTAACCTTTTGGATCCGGATTAATGGAGCGGTTTACTTTCGAACACATTCGCTTTGAAGCCACACTTAAACTTCTGCAGACGTGATGGACAACATTTCAATATTGACCTGGTAAAGTGTTGTTAAACGATGACAATACGAATTAAAGACGAGAAAATAAACAACACAAGATTTACGTGGTTCAGCAATGTGCCTACGTCCACGGCGGAGCGATCTTTTATATTCTCAATCATCCAAATACATCAATACACCATGTATTTATATTATAACCATACTAGGTATAAATTTACTTAAATACCCTGTACCGTACCGCGGGGGCTCCGCCCCCACACCCTCGGCCCAACTAATCGACCCAGCCCAACAGAGGGCTGATGCCTGCTCGTTCCACTCACTCCACTCGGACGCTCCGCTCCCTCGCTAAGCTCGCTCCACTCGCAAGCATCAGCCTGCCTCATTCCTTTGTCAATATATGAGTCATATCAACATAAAGTTTTTTCAATAAATTAATAAATATATTTTTTTTTAAATAAAAAGTTACTAGTACGATACCCATGTATTACACTGGTACTTGATAAGAAAATTATTTTTAAAATTAAATAATAAGAACAACAACAATAAACTAAATAATAAGAAAAACAACAATTGTTTAAAATTAAATATATGTATTTATTACGCTAATTTAAAATTTTCATAGAAATTAATGAGCCGATTGAGAGCTTCCAAAAGAAATCAAGGTTATATCAGTCAATCAATACCATTACCAAATGTTTCAATACAACTTAAGGGTTATATTAATCAAACTATTATGGAATTACTAATTTAGTTTTTCAATATATTTGGAATATCCAAATCTAAAATTGTTGATTTAACATAATATAATTCTTTATCCGAACCAAACTACGAAACATGTTTTTTCACCAAGTAGGATTACGAAGCGTGCGAGACTATCACTTAGGCTCTGCGCATTCTGCAATTATATATAGGGAGATTTACATAGTTAAATACTTATGAGATACAAGAAAACTAAGATTTTAAAGTATAAAATTATATATTAAATGAAATATATATTTAACATTGAAAAATAATATTTATTATTTTTTTTAATTGACTCCATGACTCTGTGATTGAATTGGTGACCCAATAACCCACTAAACATTGAATGAAATGTTTTAACATGTTTATTCAGAACTCAGAATCTATAGTAACAATTTTTACCGTTAGAACAAAATTAATAAAATATTTGAATGATACCATGATATACGAGGCTTTGGATAATCTAGGGGACAATAAAATGTCCCAAAATCGAGATTTGTCACGATTATGACAAATTTGTGGGCCTCCTCTTATAACCAGCTGTTTAGCCAAATGAGATGTGTTGATAAAATAGCCACCTCCAAACATTTTAATAATAATCACATCTTAAATAATTAATTAGTTAAACGGCGCTAACAATGATTATGACGTAGATTAATTAGGGAATTTTCCGAGGTTAGTCTTAATAGGTACAACCTGTAACAAATAGCTGGTTGATTCTCATGTTTCCAGAATATGTATACCAAATCTAAACGCTTTTTAACTGAAATCATCTTTTGACTACTTAACTTCTTCTAGTAATTATTAACACAAATTTTTGCTTAGAGCTGCGTAAACGTTAAGTAGATCGATACATTATATATAAGTTTTTAAGAAAATTGCGTGCTATGAAATGTCATAATTTTATTTATTTTATTGCATAAAGTATTGACATTTTAGGAAAATGTGACAAAAGTACAACTATTAGGCATCCCTTAGTTAGTGAGACTAATATTAATATTTCCAAATATCAAAAAGAAAATAAGAAAATGTTGCAAGGCCCACAACGTGCAACTTAGTAATAGCAAGCAAGCCGGTGCTATTATGCTCTGGTGTCTGCATGATTGGGAGTAAAAATTCAAACGGTTTGCAATTTTGCTATATATATTTTCTATTCAGTTTCATTTTAAATTTGCTCAATTTATATAAAAAAACTAAATTAAAATTTATTTAGCTCTCAATTTTCAGTTATTCAACTGATATTTCAAATTCCCAAATAGGCTACTTTTTCACCAAATCATCTGATTGAAGATAGGTTGCGATTTATGCTGTTTACCCAACTGAATAAGAAAAAGATTGCGTTATTTATGACATGAAATTCCAGGTACTGCCATTAATGCACTCAGTACAACTCAGCAGGACTTAACAGAAACGGTCAACAAATTGACCGCCCCTTATCCTACGCCCCCCAAGCATTTTAGCACCGACCGCAAGGTGCGGGGCAAGGGCCAACAATCACGGTCAACAAACTGACCGCGCCTTATCCTACGCCACCACGCGCATTTTAGCACCGACCCCTTCCTCACAGATCTCATAAACACAACGTCTTGTCCACATCCAAACGGTGGTACATCAGAAAGACAGAAAAACCATCAAAACACACACACACACGCACATAAGTGTGCCCCTTTTTCTCTTCACTTTATCCCCTTTAAAATGGCGCACAAATCCAGCCACAGGCGCACCTTAGCAGCAGTCACAGACCTCCAAACCCCAATGGATCCTCCGCGGAAGCCCAGGCCCGAACCCTCCTCCGCCGCCGCGAACCTCCACCTACGCCACCAGCCGCCGCAGCTCGTTCACCCTCTTCCAGATCCCGCCGCGGCCCCGCCATCCTCCACCATACAGAACATCTCCCACCGCTTCTCGAAGCTCTACCCGAGCCACAGGAAGCTCGCCTCGAAGCCCGGCTCGCACCCTCAGCCCGACCCCTTTGTCGCGACCCACAAAAAAGATCTCACCGTTTCTCCAGTTTCAGACTCCTCCTGCACCACCCTGACGAAATCAAGCAGCCAGAAGGAGAGGAACCCGAACATCAGCCTCAGCTCGGCCATTGTCAAAATCTTGGAGAAAAAGGAGAAAAATCAGAGGAATTACTACTTCGACACGAAACCCAACGTGGATGAGAAAAGCGGTTTGAGGAAGCCGTCTCGCGACAGGGACGCGAAGAAAGATTTGTCCTTTGTGCCGACGGAGGATATTTTGAAGGGCTTGGAGAGAATCGAAGAGAGAGTTGAAGAAGGGGTGGGCGAGGGGAGGAGAAGAAGCTCTGTGTCTTGTCTCCCGCCGGTTGTCAATGGAGGAAGGAGAAGGTCGTTCTGCAACTCGCAGGTTGAGCTGGCGGACTTCTTGTCCAGCAGCGGCGTGAAGGTTGTGTCGGTGGATATGCCGCCGTTCATGCAGATTCACGCCGTGGATTGTGCGAGGAAGGCATATGATAGCCTGGAGAAGTTCACAGCCAAGACTCTAGCTTTCACGCTCAAAAAGGTAAAATTGGATCATGGGTAATAGTTATTATTTCTTTTCAAGAAAAACAGATTGGTGATATTATGTTAGTTACTGTGCTTTATTTTGTTTATGCATTTTGATTATGGTTTTTGTGTTTGCAGTCTGATAGGTGTTTAAACCATTACGTAATGGTTGGTTCTTGGTTGGGGTCATACATGTGATGGGTTTTTGATAAAATTCATATGTTTGTGTATTTTGTTGTTAGATTGATTGTTGAGTTCTTGTATTTTGATCAGGTTCTTGCTTTGACATTCAAATTTGGGGATTAGATCATGGTGAAATTAATTTTGTTGATTTACGGATGAGAGGTTCTGATGTGTATGGGTGTATTCATTGAATATCATGAGTTCTTGCTACATTTGGTCAGACTCTAGCTTTCACACTTAACGGTGATTAAATCATGGCACTAATCATGTTGGGGGGATTAAATGATCAGGGGCTTTGACAATTTGTCTTTTCATTTGTGTTATTGTTATTTTAATCACAGAGTTCCTTTTAGATCTTGAATAGATTATTGCTTTCTTAGCTCTAAAAGATAATTAAATTATGATGTAATCACTAATTTACTTTTATTTTCTTAGTAGATGACAATTTTAACAACTTTTTATTTCCATTTCCATGTGGTGATTGATTATTTTAAGATTCAACCGCCGAGTTCCTTTGACATCATGATAGATTCTTCTTTCCACTCCTATAAGCTAATCAAATCATGACAATTATCATTCTTGTTGACTAATACATACACATGAGGGGACTTTTTTAATAGTATTTTTTTCTTTCTGAAGTTATTATTGATCTGTATGTACTATCTTTCGATCAGATAGTTATGAATTTTTCTTCTTGTGTTGCTTTTCTGCAGGAATTTGATGGGGTCTATGGACCAGCTTGGCACTGCATAGTGGGGACCGGTTTTGGTTCATTTGTGACTCATTCAGTGGGTGGATTCATGTACTTCTCTTTAGATCACAAGCTTTACATCCTTCTATTCAAGACCACAGTACATAGGGCAGAATAATAACTTTCCAAGGCCATCTTTACACTTATGATTATTTTTTAAAAAAAAAGGAAAGATAAATGTTGTCTCCTTTGTTTGTACATCTTTTGGTGGTATCAAGAAGAAAAGAAGAAGAAAAAAAACATTATGGAGAGTGTATCTTTTCCATTTAACTCAAATTGTCAAGGCCCCCCTTTTTGGATGTGTTCTTGGGAGAATTTGAGGCTTGGTGTAGGTGAAAGTTAGATTATTACTTGATGTAATTGCCTTGTTTGTAGGTTGTTCCAAGATGTCCCTTTTTCTTGTATTGGTTTGAGTGAAATTATATTTGGATGTACAAGAATTTGATGGGATTTGTAGCATGTGTATTGTTGACTGCAAATTAATATAAATTTGCTTCAAGCCTTTGAGTGATAGGAAGGCTAATTAACTTCTATTCTCACTTTGGCGTTTTGTGAAATTATAATACTGGATGAGATGGGCTTATTAGCTTATTTATGTGTAATTCTTGGATGGACTAAATTTTTGGATGTGTTACTATCAAGTTTTAAATTAGAATTTTGGTGATATGTAGATTGGTTGGTGTCTTTAGCTTCATGAAGATAAATTTTTGATCTATTTATCAAATGTTGCTTGATAGGATAAATTACAAGGGAAAACTTCTCTCGCTGTTTTCTCCCAATTCCTCTCGCGACTTTAAACCTAGCTTTTCCGTCCGGCGTTTCTTGCCTTCCTCGTCACCGTCGACGCTCGGGCCAGTGGTCGCCTCGACCGCTCGGCCCGTCCCTGAAGTTGCGAGCTCCAATTTCTCAGTAGGTTTTCGATGGAGGTCTGCCCTCGGTTGCCGACGCGGATGCGTTTGCCGTGGTGCGCCTTGGTCAGAGTCTGGCCTTCCTCCTTTCTTCGCCGGCGGTCCTCGATTGGATTGGTTTGCTCTCGATCTTCTACCGGTCTGCGATTGGAGTCGGCTCTGCCGTTTCAAGTGGGGTTTCCGGTGAGGCTGGGGCCCTGGTTATCGGCTTTCTGTGGTGGGTTGGGTTGCGAGTACTTCAATGGGCGGGTTGGAGCTCTGCCGGCTGCGCCGTCTGGTGGCGTCGGGGTCGTTGGAGTAGTGGAACCGAGCAGATTTCTCCCCCCCTGTTCTCTAGTGCTGGGGACGGCGGGGGTCTAAAACTCCCGAGCTTGTTCTAGTGGTGTTAGAGGAGTTTGGTCAGTGACGGTGTGGGGAGCTGGTTCGTGTTCACTCGGTCGGTGGTGAATTGATTTGAGACGGGTTTCAGGCTTGGGTTCGGCTTATGTATAGGCGGTTCCGCAGTTCCGGTAGCAGTTCCTCGGGCTCGGGCTCTTTTTGGATCGATTGTTTCTCTGCTGTTTTAGGCTCGTTGGTTGGCTGGGGAAGGGCTCTCTCTATTGATTTATAGTTTCTTGTTTTATTTTTCGTATGTTTTGAGTCTGTGTTTGTGATATTTTTTGTCTTGATTTTTAGGTTTGGGTCGTTGGCTCCGGTACTGATTCCCCTGTGGGGGGCGTTTCTATTCTCCTGTGGGGAGCGTTCGTAGTTGGTGTGTTGGTGTCTTTTAGTTGTGTGTTGTGTGTTTTCTTTTTTAGTGTGGCTAGCGAGGTTCTAAGCAGTTTCGATCTGTCCTCCTAGTTTCTAGTTCCTGGTTGCAGTCCCAATTTTAATGCTGGTTGCAGTTCCTGGTTGCAGTCCCAATTCTAGTTCCTGGTTGCAGTCCCAAAAAAATCGAGCATGGCTTGATAATAATGCTCGACTCGACTCGACTTGATTTGTTTGCAGTCCCAATTTTAAAGGATTAAGTTTGCATGTTATTAGTTAACAATAAGATTGTTGTAATCTAATGGTTAAATAATTATATCTTTTCAACAAAGTCAACTAATGGTTAAACTTAATCCCAATTTTAAAGGATTAAGTTTGCATGTTATTAGTTAATAAGTCAAATATGCATTACTTTTAAACTGAAACGCCATATTTTAAAAAATAGTATAAACAAAAACATAACATTTCATATATTTTATTAAAAATATTATAACGAGTCAACCCACCTAATGATTAAACTATATATCCCGAAAAATTTCTACAAAAGTATTGTTTATGTCTGTCTTTCATTAAGAAACCAAACTCCATAAAACTTTCCTCAAGAAATAAAAAGAAACAAGGATCTGATTTTTATTGTCACTAAAGCTACCATGGACATGGGATTAATTTGACTTGCTTGTATAATGGAAGACAGCATTATATTCTTTTTGTCACAATTTTAGTGTTGTAACCACTACTCATGACATAAGGGACCAAATAATATCAAAACAAATACCAATAAAACAAAATTGAACGCCGAAAAATATGTGGCTGCTAGTAAAATCGACCCAATTAGCAAAATTGATAGCATGATAGGGGCAATTTAACAACTAGGTCTTACCCTATTAATTTAAAGTCAAAGCTGTTTCTTGATTTCAATTTAGATATGATTTCCAAAAGGACTGGGCTATCCACATAGAGCCCACCACTACGCTGAACTATTAATCGTGGCCGAAGCCTGATTCCTTGTGCTAGACTAACAGCAACTGACACTCTCAATGACTTTTAATGGGCTTGGACTACTGTATTTATCTAACTGAAATCTAGAAATGGGCCAAAGTTTGGTGAGATTATATATAAACTACAGCCCCAGCTTAAATGGAAAGCTACAAGTGGGCTAACCAATTCGGGTCCAGAAATTAATTGGGCTTGGGAGTTGATTTGTATTACTAGATAATGACCCTAGCTAACTATTTTAAAATTATTGTGACTTAAAAATCTTCATATTTTACTATTTCCTTGCACTGTCATCTTTATTCTCAAGCATATCTTATTGATGACCACTATACGTATTTTATTGGCAGTTGTAACTAATTGACAGTTAATAGTAGTCTACATACTTCAGTTTTTGAGGAGACATGATTGACGGTTTTTGCCTTTCCAACTTCTTTTCATTTTCGTGGAAAAAAACTTTTCAGTTTCTTTTCATCTTCAATTTCACTTTTTTTATGGTGATAACTCAGATGAATGTTTGAAGTCACATTATAAAATTCATAGTACTTCGGACGTGAATGAAAAAAAGAAACGCAAATTGGGAAGGCAAGTTTCATCTCGACATTTGAGGGAGGGTGTAGCTTATGTTCAGAAGGAACCGATCGAGATATGCTTATTCATTATTAGGGAGTTCTTGAGCCCCAAGCAATTGGAATTGTTTTTTCTCACTAGAATCTGACGCGGAGTTAAACCGATCGAGATATGCTTATTCATTATATTAGTATGGGAGAATAAATTTGAGATTGGTTATGTGAGCGACGATGGACTTCCTACATGCTTGCCTGAAGAGATGCGCTTGGAATTGCTCAAGGCCTGCCTCTTAGGATGAAGTATCGTTTGTTGTTATTTTAAATGGTCGTTTGTATGGGATATGCTTTATGTTGTCCTTCACGGTCTTTTTGTTGTTTTGTTGTTATTTTAGTATTAAGCATCGTACATAGGTTCATAGAATAATCTGTTTCGTAGGAAATTGTTTTGTATCTTGAAGTTATTGATAGGTTGTTGTTTGGTTTCTAGGTTATCATCAAACTATGGATACTGTAGCACATGTTTTTTCTGATTTGTTACAGACTGGTTAACTGTGTGTTTTCTTGTAGTTTTTGTCTTTATTTTACTTTTTAACATGATTTTGTAGTAAATTGTGTTTTGGTTAATGTATGTTAAAATATTCTTATGTTACATAGTTTTTTTTATTTAGTTTTACTGACTATTTTTCTCATATTTCGTGTGCTCGAATTTCGGGTGTTATTATTTCTGGTGAGTGGGTATAAACATTTGTTTTTAGCAAATGTAATTGAACTTTGACTATTATTTCTAATTTAAGACTATTGACAGTTTGATGTTTAATTAAAGAAGTTTGATATTACAATTTTTTTTTTTTGTTTTCAAACAAGTATTATGTTTGTTTCCTACATATCCTTTTTTTTTAATCTATTGGCTTTTCATGGTGTTTTTATTTTCTTAAAATTTTCAGTTAACTGATAGTTGTCAGGTATCTTATTGAAAACTATTAACACTACATAAATTTGGAAAAAGTGAAAATCAACAGAGGGAGAGTTCTTGATTTTAAATTGCCTCATTCGCATGATTACATATGCCTAAACGGTTAATTTAAATTTGTACTTAAACTGCTTCACCGTTTTTGGCACGTGCCTTTCTTACATCCCTTTTCCCAACTTGATGAAAATCTCTCTTTTCTTCGTCGTCCACATTGTGAGTGATGGGGCGGAGGAATGACCATGCAATCTTCATTGGATGTAGGTGGTGTACGCGTTGTTTCGTAGTCGACGGGATATACAGCCTCGCTATACGTAGCGACCATTGTCTCTGTGTAGTAATACCTTGAGCAATAAGGTTCAGGCTCCTCATGAATTCCTCGAATTACACAAAGTGCATGTGCACATGGTAGCTCATCCATTTGGAATCTATTGCATGAACACGTTTTTTTCCCAATGTCGACTATGAATATGCGTGGACCGTTGGAGACTTTGAAGATTTCATCAGTGGCTTTCTGGACCTGCAAGTTTGAATTGTGAATTTATGGCTAAAAATTTGTAATTATTCATAATGTTTTTAATTAGTATTTGAATACTTACTGTTAAATGCATTGACGCTTTGTAATTTTCTTCGAGCATTTTGTGTCCAAGCTTTGCTAGTTTCGTGAATGTTCCATTTGCTTCTGCTTTGTTTTTAACATTCCATTCTTGTTGCATTCCTCTCAAACACTCAAGTAGTAGCGTAATGGGTAGTTCACGTGCAACTTTCATGGATGAATTGATGGTTTCAGCGACATTTGAGGTCATAGTCAAAAAGCGGTTGCTTTTACAATGCATTCGAGACCATCTTTCCACACCAATTTCGTCTTCAAGGTATGCGATGACTCGAGGGTCTGCTTTTTCTATCGCACCCATGTGTCGATTGAAGTCGTATTCAGTATATGCTTTTGCTGCAGCCATGAATCCCTCTTTCACCGCTTCCATATTTATTTTGTACTTTCGGGCTATAGTCTTAGACATATGGTAAATGCAATTGCAATGCGCCGCATTCGGGTACACCTATTACAAAAAAATTTGAAATATATAGTGGTTATCATGAAATATAAAATTATTGTTACTCATTAATTTTTTTAATTTATTTATAATCATTTATGATGTGTTACTTTGGGTGATTACTAGTTGCATTTTTTGGAACAAATGTGTCTCATGATTTTTTTTTTCTCCCAGGTAAATGTTGACAATATGCTAAAATGATTTTTAAATAGTACCTTGTTAATGGCAAACTTGATACTCGGGTGTTGATCTGAAACAAAGCATAGCCCTTCTCTTTCACTTATTGCTGACTTCAAATTTTCGAAAAACCATTCATAAGCTTTGTTGTTTTCTGAGTCTACAACGCCATACGCTAGTGGCAATATATGGGAG